TCTGAATTTGACCTTTAAGGTCACAAAATGTTGCAAAATAAACGCCCTTTTCGGTGTTCACGCGCCATAATTGACAACTGACGTTTGCTCAGTGAAATTGACGCTGAATAAATCGCTGAATAAATTGCCAACTGCAATCATAGTTGGGGTGGGGATAAAAGTTCATACTAATGTCTGTGTCTCAACTGATCGTGATAAGCACCTCCCATGGCTTATTGAAAACTGATGGAAGACAAACACGCAAAGAACGGTTGGAAAATGTATTTGGTATGCATTCCCTGATGCACGGAATACATCTTCCCATTCGCTGAACCAAAGCGTCGCAGGGGAATTTTTTGCACCGAGCAGTTGCCACGACCCAACCGACAATCAGAATTGGTTGGGAACAAACGTAGCGCTGAAGTATCCTCGTTGGCAATGATCAAAGTCAGTCCGTAGCTGCCCCTCCTAAGAGACATCAGACAAATCACATGTTAAAGAACAACAAACAGAAGTTACGCTCTACGCAATACCAGGACAAAGTTCACTGGGTCAGCCGCGCACCCTAGTTTGCCTCGAAAAACTATCCACCCGCATATCGCCTCCGGCCTCTGGCAGCACCTACTGAATGCTCAGCTACCACGGGCACGCCTCAGGTCAGCGACCGCAGATCATGCTGCGCTTGGATAGTAAGCGGAAGCGCCGGTCCACCCTGCAGCAGGTGAGCGCCAGCTCAACCAGCTCGGTGGCAGGCTGCGGTAGAGGCAGTGCTGTCGTCGCCATAGCACGGCCGGCGCCGGCAGCGGCTGGCGCCCAGACCTGGCCTAAAGCGCCTGGTGGCAGCGGCTGACACCCAGACCTGACCTAGAGCGCCTGGTGGCAGTGACTGATAACCGGATCCGACCTAGAGCGCCTGGTGGCAGCGGCTGACACCCAGACCTGACCTGAGCGCCTGTGGCAGCTGCTGGCGCCCAGACCTGACCTAGAGCGCCGGTGGCAGCGGCTGACCCAGACCTGACCTAGCGCCTGGTGGCAGCGGCTGACGTCCAGACCTGGCCTAGAGCGCTTGGTAGCAGCGGCTGATGCCCGAACCCGACCTAGAGCGCCTGGTGGCAGCGGCTGGCGCCCAGACCTGGCCTAGAGCGCCTGGTGGCAGCGGCTGATGCCCGAACCCGACTTAGAGCGCCTGGTGGCAGGGGCTGACACCCAGACCTGACCTAGAGCGCCTGGTGCAGCACGGACGTCTCGAGCGGCAGGGTGCCCCGCTGGACAGTGTAGAGCGCCGGCGAGCCCGTGTCTGCTAGGACAGCGGCGCAGAGCGGCACACCGTCCTCCGGCGGCGCAGCCAGCTCACCCAGCTCGTCCTCCGGTCTGCGTGTCAGTCACACAGGGGTCAAATCAGGCCACGGCCACCGTCACACGTGCTTGTCACGAACACCAATCGGACAGCGCACCTCCAGTCACCAGCACTGGCCATGTAAGGACCACAGAGCGCGTTCAGGTGATAGGCGAGAGTCAAACAAGGCAGCGCCTGCAATAGGCGCCGCTGGAACGAGGCACCTCCAGCCACAGATACAGTCCCATGGGGGACCTTAGGCCACTCAGGTCACCTCAAGACTACATGGCTTCCGAAAGTTGCAACAGCTAGTGAGACATGTCGGGTGACATTGAGCTTGGGTAGTACTAATAGACATTGGTTTTAAGAACGCGCCAACCGCAGTGTTTGTTTGCACCGTGACCGAGCTAAGCTAGGTCAGGTCAAGTTGGGTTATGTTAGGCAAGGCAGGCAAGGCAAGGCAAGGCAAGGCAAGGCAAGGCAGGCAAGGCAAGGCAAGGCAAGGCAAGGCAAGGCAAGGCAAGGCAAGGCAAGGCAAGGCAGGCAAGGCAGGCAAGGACCTGACTAGGCTAGGCTAGGCTAGGCTAGGCTAGGCTAGGCTAGGCTAGGCTAGGCTAGGCTAGGCTAGGCTAGGCTAGGCCGGGCCGGACCGGGCAGTTATACTAGGCCAGGCTAAGTCGGATTAGACTAGATTACCCAGGTTAGGCTAGGTTGTGGGCGGGGCCAGCACCGAATTTTGGAGGTTCAGCCCCATATGGATGACTCAAGTCGCCGCCACTGGCCACAGAAACACCTCGGGTCGCACGCATCAGCCGGGTGTGACACAGCAGGGCACCTCCGGCATGAGCGCCGACAAGGCTGGCATCCCAGGTGACAGGCTCGAAAACGATCCAGTTAGATGGACAGAAGATTTATACATCAACTGGCAAACTAACAATGTTGCTGCCAGCTGGCATGCCTAAGTCACGCATCTTTGGCATTAAGATATCAATGACAAACAAAAAAATGAACAGGGGAGCACGTAAAACAGTAAACTAGAGAGTTCCACCGAGCACAGCGGTGGAAAACATCCGGCGTTTCGATGCTTTCAATGAACACAGGCCTGCAGTCAGGCCTAACTCGCGGCGACATGACCAACCTAGCCGACGCAATCTCAAACAAGAACGTTCGAAAAGAGAACAACTACAAGAAAGAACACATTTCCAGCGGCTGTGCAGACTGTCGCTGGATGAAGCAGCACAAGATCGTCCTCTACAGTACCCACAGCCGGCAGAACGCGCCGGCCCCGGCCACGTCGCTCCGGTGGTTATGGTCCGCACACCCAGCTGCACGGCACCGCCGGCAGCCAGCCGTCACCGGCCAACGATGGCACCGACCCCGGCAGCAGCCAGCTGTTACCGGCCGACGATGGCACCGACCCCGGCAGCAGCCAGCTGTTACCGCCCGACGATGGCACCGACCCCGGCGACAGCCGGCTGTTACCGGCCGACGATGGCCCACCGGCAGCCTGCCGCACCGCCGACGACGGCACCGACCCCGGCGACAGCCAGCTGTTACCGGCCGACGATGGCACCGACCCCGACAGCAGCCAGCTGTTACCGGCCGACGATGGCACCGACCCCGGCAGCATCCAGCTGTTACCGGCCGACGATGGCACCGACCCCGGCAGCAGCCAGCTGTTACCGGCCGACGATGGCACCGACCCCGGCGACAGCCGGCTGTTACCGGCCGACGATGGCACACCGACCCCGGCGACAGCCAGCTGTTACCGGCCGACGATGGCACCGACCCCGGCAGCAGCCAGCTGTTACCGGCCGACGATGGCACCACCGGCAGCCTGCCGTCACCGGCCGACGATGGCACCGACCCGGCGACAGCCAGCTGTTACCGGCCGACGATGGCACCGACCCCGACAGCAGCCAGCTGTTACCGGCCGACGATGGCACCGACCCCGGCGACAGCCAGCTGTTACCGGCCGACGATGGCACCGACCCCGGCAGCAGCCAGCTGTTACCGGCCGACGATGGCACCACCCCGGCAGCCTGCCGTCACCGGCCGACGATGGCACCGACCCCGGCGACCGCCAGCTGTTACCGGCCGACGATGGCACCGACCCCGACAGCAGCCAGCTGTTACCGGCCGACGATGGCACCGACCCCGCAGCAGCCAGCTGTTACCGGCCGACGATGACACCGACCCCGGCGACAGCCAGCTGTTACCGGCCGACGTTGGCACCGACCCCGGCAGCAGCCAGCTGTTACCGGCAGACGATGGCACCGACCCCGGCAGCAGCCAGCTGTTACCGGCCGACGATGGCACCGACCCCGGCGACAGCCAGCTGTTACCGGCCGACGTTGGCACCGACCCCGGCAGCAGCCAGCTGTTACCGGCCGACGATGGCACCGACCCCGGCACAGCCAGCTGTTACCGGCCGACGATGGCGCCGCCGGCAGCCTGCCGTCGCCGGCCGACGATGGCACCGACCCCGGCAGCAGCCAGCTGTTACCGGCCGACGATGGCACCGACCCCGGCGGCAGCCAGCTGTTACCGGCCGACGATGGCACCGACCCCGGCACAGCCAGCTGTTACCGGCCGACGATGGCACCGACCCCGGCGGCAGCCACTGTTACGGCCGACATGGCACCGACCCCGGCGACAGCCAGCTGTTACCGGCCGACATTGGCACCGACCCCGGCGACAGCCAGCTGTTACCGGCCGACGTTGGCACAGACCCCGGCGACAGCCAGCTGTTACCGGCCGACGATGGCATCGACCCCGGCGACAGCCAGCTGTTACCGGCCGACGTTGGCACCGACCTCGGCGGCAGCCTGCCGTCACCGGCCGACGATGGCACCGACCCCGACCCTCACCTGACGATGAGCACGCGGAACTCGGGCGGCGGCGGCAGTGACTTGCGGTAGGGGTCGGACGGCCCGTAGACGTCGTACAGAGGCGGCGGCAGACCGGCGGACAGGGCCGGCGGCGCGGGGGGCGCGCCAGGCGCAGACGTGACAGCAGCTCGGCCGCCGAGCCGCGCCACCCGGCCGGCACCAGGCTCGACCCGTCGCCGTCCGCTGACGGAAGCATGACCATCTGCACGGCGGAGGCGGCGCGGTACACACGTGGGCCTCGGCCTGGCAGCCAGCACTGATATCACTCATAGTTTAGGTACGAGAGAACGATGCCACGATGGCTCTGAACTATTGGGAGCATCAAATTTGCGGCTATTAGACAGAATTAATTAAAGCCGGTCCAAGAATTGTCATACCGTGCGTGCCTTCAAGGCTTGTCAGTGGAAAAAGAAAACCCAGGCTAAAGCGGCAGGTTTCATTAACCACCCGCACTAAAGATCTGTTGACCAAAACTCACTTCTTAGAGACTCAACACATCGCTGGTTAAAACACTCACCCACGTCTTAAACTCGGACCAGTTGCGCGCAGGCGTCTTCAAGACGGGAATGCAGCTCGGATATCTGTCCCGCTGAGATTCCTCTCTGCAGACGGGCGCACGCACACTGCGCCGCACGGCGGCCATGTCGAGCAAGTACTCGTTACGCGGCGTGACGTTAGGCGGCAGTAGGTCCTTGTCCGCGGCCGCATCCTCACCCAGGTGGCACCCGATTACGTTTGGCAACAGGCGCTTTTCTTCGGTGAAATCGAGCTGCCTGAGCGGTGCTCCGCCTCGCGCCTGGCCGGCGTCGAGTGGGGCGTCGAGGCGCTCCGAGCACTCCGTCGGACTCGCCGACGACCGCGCACAACAGTCCTCGGCGCCGACGGCTCCTGAAACCGCCAGGTCGCGGCCACCTCCGGCGTCATTGCGCGTCACCCCCAAGAGATCCGACGTGTGCTCAGGCTCCTGGTCTTGCCGCTCAGATGCGTGACTGGAGCCCTTGGATGCATCCTCGCTGGTTCGCAGCACCTTGGGATCCGGGCTGGTGCCCGGCGAGGCCGTGCGGTGACGTTTGTCCTTGCGCTCTCGGAGGTACTGGTCGAGACGGATCTTGCGCTCATACTCTGAAACGTCGTAACGAAATCTCATCCACCATGAGATTACGTTTCAGACTTACACCAAATAAGCGATGCCGCTACAAAAATCAATGACTAGTAAAGAATGCAGCGACGAAGTATGTGCGGCAAACAATATACTCACGGGACTATACCACTCACCATCACCATCACCATCAACCAGCCAACGTTCAAAACCATACCTCTACATCGATCGATGTCTACACAATACAAAAGGTTCATGCATACTATGAACGACTGCACCTTCAGCCGTGCCACTGACTTCGTTTTATTGTGACTCCGCATTCGCAAACTGGGAACACACGCGCGTGAACAGTGTTAGCTTCAAATACGTGTTGACGTCGTACGGCCCAGTCCACAATATGCGGCCAGGGGTGCGTCGGCCGGGGCCGGCCGGGCCGGCCGGAGCCCAGCGAAGCCTGCCGGGGCCCGACGGCGGCCGCGTCACCGGCAGACGCGCGCCTGCCGGGGTCGCCCAGACGCACCTGTGGCCAGCGGCCCTGGTGGCGGACGGGCCGGTAGCCGAGCCGCGTGAGGTGCGCGTACAGTCGGTAGCGCCGCTCACGGGCGTCGCAGCCGGCCAGCAGGCGGGCGCGCACCTCCTGCTGGCTGCAGCACGGCTGGCCCTCCGCCGTCAGACGCAGCAGGCCCTGGCCGCCAGTCGGGGGGCACAGGTCTGGCCACGCTGACACGACGGTGCGGTGCGCACCACCGACACAGCGCCCTTAGCCGGGCCGGCGGCGAGCGAAGAGACACGTCCGGGCCGGCGGCAGACGGGGAATGCGTGCAGGCCGGCGGGGGGGGGGGGCGCTTGACACGTCCGAGCCGGCGGGGGGGGGGGGGGCTTGACACGCCCGGGCCGGCGGGGGGATGCTACGTCCGGGTCGGCGAGCGAAGGGCTTGACACGTCCGGGCCGGCGGGGGGGGGGGGGGGGAGGAGGGCTTGACACGTCCGGGCCGGCGGCTGCACCGACATCGGCGCACGACACACCCGACGGAGCCCAGCCGGCGGGCCCGGCACCGAGTCCGAGCTGCGCTACACAGTCGGCCCGGCGAGCTAGGCAGGCGCTGGCGGCCGGTGCCCTAATCTGTAATACTATTTTGGTACTGTTTTATCGTAAAGGTTTATGGGCGGAAAAGGGGTCAGAGTGCACGCTCCGCTGAACTGGAGACCGGTTGTCACTCACCCTATCACGGTAACATCTATTAGCTATTTTGCCTGCTTGTACCAGACCTTGAACAACACAATTCTGGGTTGTCATTTACCTTATGGCCAGAAGTAGAAAGCTGTCTTGGGGCCGCCGGTTCGAGCAGCGAGCGATGCCATGCCGCTGCTGGGACCATGCCGGTGCCGGACTGGTGCGTCAACAGGCATAGGACATTGTACGGTACGACGATATGTCCACGTGTCGACATGGACACGCGCCATGAAAAACCCAGGCGGAGCCAAGATACTCAGTGATCTCAAGGCGTCGAAAAACATCCGCTTCTTACCATCTCACTCAGCATGACGACTTCCTCCCAATGCAGGAATTTGCAGCCGTTCTCTTCGAACCCCATGTACTGCCAGAACTTGCCAGGCACTGCGCTGAGACGAGCGACATCTCGAGCTGGCTCCCAGGCGGCTGTGAGTAGCTCCGACCTGCAGCCGGCAGTGGCAGCTTAGCCGGCCGGCCACGCGGCACCGACAGGTCATGTCAGGTCAGTTCAGGTCAGGTAAAGTCACGTACACCGCAGCACACATAGGCCACACAGCTCCGGCAGGTCAGGTCAGGTCACGTACACCGCACACACACACACCGCCCACACGGCGCCGGCAGGTCAAATCCGGTCAGATACCGCGGCACACACACCACACGCTCCGGCAGGCCAGGTCAGGTCAGGTCAGGTAACATTACAGCAGCCACCGGCCACAACGCATATTGTAGCCGAAGTAAAGCTGCCGAGCAGCCGGGAACGTATTGCACACAAATAAGTTGGTATGTCCTCAAACCAATGCACGGGTGCGATGGGCATCTTTTCGGTGAAACAGGTTCCACTAATGGGCTGTGGCGTTTTCCAGGAAGCGAAAGGACCAACAAACTGATTTCACATACTGATTGACTGCGCGAATGACGGCTGGGTACCGATAACCATCGGACGACAAGTAATGCTGATTGCCAGAGACATTGCTGAGGGCGATAAAGAGAAAGGAGCTAAACAAGAGGAAGGGGGAGGAAGGTAGGGCGGAAGTAGGTTGCATATTATTTACATAGGGGCTGCGTAAGATAATGTGGGCCACCGTCATATGGAAGGACTCCATCAAAACCTCGCTACCCACCGGTGGCGTGTTGGATCTGTGGGTTTCATATGACAGTCAATGGGTCTTGCTTACAAGTAAACGCAGCTGCAGTGTTCGTACGAGATGTGTCGAAAGTTGACATTACATTACTCTGGCTGATTTGCCCGATTCACGCGACATTTTGTGATATTTTCTAGTTGAGGAATATTGACAATGCATAAACACAACGGAACAACCTAAGCAAATACGCTTTAACGGGAATGTTACACATTTGAAGATATTGAGGCAAGCATCAGATATTATGAAATAAGCTCCCTTGTAACTACTGGTTTGCTTTCAAGCGTGAAAGAATGCTATAGAAATAAAATGTCACCATTTAGTAAATACGCGCTGCTCAGTGCATCGTCGGTTGATTAAGTCGTGGGAAGTATTCACGACGTCAGAGTCGCTGCCAGGCTCGCTGTGTCAGAACTACCACTGTAGGCAACGGGCCGAGTCGGCCATAGCGGCTCGACTCTCCCAGACGTGGCAATGTTTGATGATGCGTGCTTGTTTTTGGAACCCAAACATCGCTATGCGCTCGTGTTTTAACCCTTTTCGTAGTGTCCGTGAGTTTATATCGTCTTCTTGCATCCGCATACCCGGTTGTCGCGCTCCGTTATTGGACCCTATCCCCAGTCTTTTTTCTGTCACAACTCGCACCACTGTCCAATTTTCTGTATCATGTAGCACAAAACGCAATTCGTATTCGAGAATTGCGCTTCACGCCATAACTCGGCTGAAGGCCAGCTGGCCTCCGATGTTACCGCGGATAGTGCTGGCGTAGGCCAGACACCACTGATAATGATTCGTTGATCATATTTGTTTTGTCCTTGAGTACTACATGGCCACTGAGGTGGCCGTATTCACAGGTTCACATGAACTTACTGTGACGTCATGCATGCCCGAGGGACCTTGAAATGGCCTGCACATGGTAATGGCCATCAAGCTCAAACACATGAAGGGTTTGAGTCTTTAAAAAGGCATAGCTGTAAACTCATCTGTATGATCTTCCAGTCCAACACGAATATGGCGTATGCCCTTTCAGTCCAGATAAACAAAAGCATCAAATAGTTACGGGATACCAGATGTTACACAGTGGTCTGTATCCGATTCTAACACCGCTGCGCACAGTATTTTACTAGTTGTTCCAATGTACTCGACACCGGTTCATGCTCTGCTCATCCCACGACATGGCCCTGTCTGTGCCGTCCTGGCGTACCGTTTAGCGGCGAGCGGTTCACTGACGAGCGCGAGCAGCTCCTCTGTCCTGGCGCGCAGCATCTGAGACTCTAGCCAAGCATCCTCCAGCGGCAGGGACCGGGCAATCTTGTCCCCCTTCTCTGGTAGCGAGCGCGACCGGCCCCCCTGTGTCATTTGCAGGATCTCCCGTGCGCTGTGGAGGGGACAAGCCGACATTAACAGTTGTTTCTATGCATGATTGATTGTCCCTTGCACATCTGTCACACAAGCTGCTGAACACCAAAACCATGGGATTGCATGTTGATAATCTCACATCACTCATGTGAGATCATTCACATCACAATCTCAGCATGCTCTCATGATACATGAGAGCATGAGAACTCAAGATGTCAGTTACCCCACATGTATGCAGCATAATGGAGCCCAACCATACTCCCTTTTCCCTCACATTGCAGTCTGTTGCCTGTCACATGTATGGTGGCCCTCATACTCACATCAGAACCAGGCACATAGCCATGATTTTTCCAAGGGGGCAAAATTTTGCTGGGAGGCTCAAACAATCTGGGTTCACTTAGGGAGATGGATTTCACCCTTCTCATCAGATTCAGCTCACTCTACAACTGGGCTCCATTTCAAACCAGCAAAATCCTTTTGGCTAAGTGAGAGCCCTAGATCCTCCCACAAGCATTACAAAAACTGAATTTACATTGTTTCATGTCAAAACATCAAGAGAAGGATCCATAGATCATGTCTTTAGGTGCCCTCTGAGCAGCTGGAGGCCCTCCAGTTGCTCCGCGCCATGGAGAGGCCCTACCCCTCAAGGAGTAGGGGAGCCACACCTTCTGCCCTACCCATTGACTATGTCTTTAGTCATCATAGACCAGTTATCATATGTCCACATATATACAACATTTCTAAATGATCTGCATGAGGTTGGCAATCCTTTAGTCTTAGCTACACCACTTGTACAAATAAGGCGTGTTTCTCGCACTTCTATGTGAAGATGAGGTCCTTGCCACTTTTGAGCAAGGTCTGTCATGCTTTACAACCCTCTGTTCCATTAAACATGTGCAAACCACAGGTTTGTAACCACAGATTTATACCCATGAATTTGTTGTGGTATAACTGAAGAACCATACCATAGCTTTCCACAAGAACCACAAACCATAGCTTTCCTATTTCCATATGAACTGCATACATGTCAAATAAGCTGAATGTCTTCAAAAGTTTACAACAGAAGAAAAAGTAAAATAAATCCAGCTTTTCTGGATATCTTATTGCATGCAAAACCCAACCCTGCATCAATGTGTAAAAATAATCTCTTGAAGAATCACAATCTATAAATCAGCACATCTTACACTTAACACACTCTCGGTGGGGGGTCAAGTTGACCCCCGAAGGGTTTTCCAGAATGGTTTCCGAATGCCGGCTATGCCACACCAAATTTTGCATAGCTGTAGACAATTAAATAGCCAATCATATGACATGAAGAATTTTAGATGTACCTCATAAGGTCACTGACCTATGGGCAGGTCAGTCATGCCATGTCTTCAGCAAAGGCAAATTTCTAGGCAATCATCCATCTGGTACCATGACAGAAATGTTGACAGGTCATACATCTCTGAGATCCTTCATTAAGGCCACCAAAAATATTGAATGAGGACATTATGTTGACCTAAAGTCAGGTATGAAGGTCAGACAGAGGTCAAAACCAACCTAATTTGTTACTCTAGGTCTTGCTGTGTGAGAAAGTTTGTGGTGCTCATTTTGAATTCATTGACAGCAGGAACCACATTATACATCTTCCATTGACTTCTTAGAGGTCAGAACAGGTCACTGCCCAAGTAATAAGTACTGCCTAGCATAATCTTTGTTGCTTATTCAAATGCAACACTCAGAGCAGTCTTGTACAAATTTGGTCACCATGACCTTCAAAAGGTCAAACAAAGTCACTGACCTCAAATGGGCTTGTAACCTTTTTGCCTAGACAACAGTTGCCTAGGTTCTGGGGCACTTCATAGACCAACCTGGAATTTGACCTTGTTTGACCTTATTTGGTATGAAGGTCATGACCTAAGAATCTCAAACTTTGACCTACATGAGTTCACATACAGGTCAAGATGCACCTGTAAATTTGGTGTCTCTAGCTCTTTTAGTTCCCAAGATCTCAGGGGGATCAAGTTGACCACCCCCACCTCAGCAATGGGCATCTAACTGGCCAAGGGGGCGCATGTTAAGACCTGATGGCGCAGCTGTCACTGCTAATTCATTACTTTCATCATGACAAACATACCTTAAAGCCTGATTTGTTAGTAGTTATGAAGAAAATACCCCTGCAACTAATCAGGTATCCTACAATGTAAAAGTAAGACCAGCAGAAATGGCACATTTAAATTCTAACTAACCACAACTAATGCCAAAAAGCCACAGGACATGCAAATTACAAAACCCCAGCTGCAGGCAACCAGCGGAGGCTGATCTATCAACCAATGTTGATTTATCACACAGTCATTCTGTTTATAAAGCTTACCTTGCAATAAACTCCTCATTCATAGTGAGGTCAACTCACTGATGTGGGACCTAAGCAAAAAACCAACAACCAATGACATAATGCAAACAGTTATTAACAACAATGTTCAAGTATATACACATGAGGCGGTTTCAGCTACTGCTCTTATAAATGGATTGCAATGTTTCTGCAACCAAAAAAGTGAATGAAGCCACACCACCCGGTTTGTTCTCAAACTAAATTTCTTTTCTAAAGTAACATTCACACACATTTATGTATATGTATTTATTGTTGATGCATGCCAATACCGCCTTTGATTTACTTGGGCAATGTGGCAGCACGCACACTGTACGAAACAGGCATAATAGAAACGCCACCTTGTGCGGCCAGAACTGAACGATGATCAAATTCTCCTCATTAAGAACCATTCCTACATTACAACAAACACTCTTAGGTGCCAGAAATAAGTGTAGTCAGAAGCAGGGCAATAAAACTCATAAGTCAGAGGTAACTGTACTGGCGTATGTCGCGCGTGCATTCAATTGGCGTCCGGAGACACAAAATAAATACACGTCTGTCAATCTAGCGGCAGATTAATAGCAAATTGCCAGATGGATATTGCGGGGTGTTCCGATTGCCTTGACATTTGGTATACCGGGCATTCTCGACACGCTAATGCCGAAAATCACTGACTTTGGGGTGGAATTTTGCGTAATTTTCGAGTTATACGCCGCGTAACACAACAGTTGGATATTGCGGGCGTCTTGATTGCTTTGAAATTTGGTGTGCAGGACCTTTCAACGCGCTGATTACAAAAATCACTGCTTTTGGGGTGGAATTTTGCGTAAAATCCGAGTCATACGCCGCGTTGGATATAACAGTTGGATATTGCGGGGCGTCCTGATCGCCCTCCAAATTTGGTTTCCAGGGCCTTCTCAACACGCTGACCACCGGCGCGTCGACGCCGCCGGCCGGCCGGCTATCAGCTGGCGGGCCCGCTGACCGCCGGTGTGTCGACGCCGTCGTCCGGCCGGCTATCAGCTGGCGGGCCCCCTGACCACCGGTGTGTCGCCACCGCCGTCCGGCAGGCTCGCGAAGTGCAGCGTCTCCACCGCGGTCAGGAGCAGCGGGCTGATGTGGCCGGCCAGCCAACAACATGGGCATGGCGTGCACAAGTAGCATGCGCTGTTCCACCAGCGTCACCAGCGTCCTTGGGAGATAAGACAGGCGGTGACATCACCCAAATCTTCATAGCTCCAGCGGTGAGGCACGATTGGTTGGTCACCAGCGACATCTCGTCAGTTTTTGGTCGGGACAAACAATGCCCGTGACTACGTCGGACTGTTACTCAACCACCTTAAAAGTCAGCAGAGAAACAAAGCTGAAAGGGATGCCACTGGATGACTACCACCAAGTCAATGATATGACATACCACACGGCTATCACTCACATGTCGCGAACTGACCTTCTCCAGTGAACTGATACGGACAGGCCCAAAGGCGAATTCCAGGACACATATTCCAAAGCTCAACTGAGGTGTCACGCGTCGTATAACTCGGAAGTCACGCAAAATCCCGCCCTAAAGACAGCGATTTTCGGAATCAGCGTGCTGAGAAGGCCCTGCACACCAAAATTGAAGGCAATTGAGATGCCCCACAATATCCAACTGTTGTGTTACGCGGCGTATAACTCAGAAATTACGCAAAATTCCACACCAAAGGCAGTGATTTTCGGAATCAGCGTGTTGAGAATGGCCCTGCACACCAAATTTCAAGGCAATTGAGGCGCCCCGCAATATCACGATGGGATGCTACGCGGCGTATAACTCGAAAATTACGCAAATTCCACCCCAAGGGCAGTGATTTTCGGAATCAGCGTGTTGAGGAAAGCCCTGCACACCAAACTTGGAGGCAATCGAGACGCCCCGCAACATCACATTGGGATGTTATGCGGCGTATAATTCGAAAATTACGCGAAATTCCACACCGAACTCAGTGATTTTTGGAATCAAGCGTGTTGAAAAGGCCCTGCTACAACCAAATTGCAAGGCAATCGAGACGCCCCGCAATATCCAACTGTTGTGTTACGCGGCGTATATAACTCGGAAATACGCAAATTCACCCCAAAGACAGTGATTTTCGGAATCAGCGTGTTGAGAAGGCCCTGCACACCAAATTTGGAGGCGATCGTGACGCCCCGGAATATCCAACTGGCAATTGGATATTAATCTGCTACTAGACTGACAGACTTGCAGATTGACAGTCAGCCTTGCCTTTTGCCGCTGTCTCGAAAAGGTGAAACGGCAATTAGCAAAAATGGAGCGAAAAAGTCGCCAAAAGTCGATGAAATAGTTGAAAGTCCTTGAAGAGCGTAGAGCAAGTTGGAACGGTAATTTCCCGACTCCCGACATGCTAGTGCCGATGCGCCAAACTGCAGACTTGCACTAGTTGATGCCGTCAGGTGCTTAATTGCTGGATGCTAAGTGGTCAATCTGCATTGATGTGAAATGGGGATATGGGTACCACACGCCGATGTTTTCCATTTAAAGGTTTCATCTCGTTTCGTTTTTGCAAAGTTGCAAGATTTTACAATGCAGGGTTTTTTTACCATTACTAATTACTTAAGCGCCGTTAAGTCGAGCGCTTATTCGCCACATTGCCTTTACACGAATGCCAATGGTCCATGTGTTTTTAATCGACTGCTATTTTGCCAAAATTTTCTTCCATCGAACGTCAATTAGCCGTAATGACTTTATGCCGTCGTGTATGAATCAGCCGAATGTTCTTTGATCCTGTGTCATAGTGTTGTTAATAGGTTATAGGTAATGGCACCCGGAAACACCGGGACCTGGTTGTGCCCGTACCTTAGGTTCAGGGTCGGATCCAGAGGGGGAGGGGACGCATGGTCCTCCCCCTTGGGCCGCACAGGGGCCCATATGCTTCGATGGGGTCAACCGGCCGAAAAGACGCAGTTTTTTACATGAAACGCGACAAAATTGGGCTTCCTGGCAACCGAAAGCAGTCGTGAGAAGAGTCTCAGAACAATCGAGAGTAAAGGGCGCACAAATAAACAAAAACAATGTTTTACTGATTGGGAGCAGTAGCGCAAGAAGAGGGAGGGCACAGGCAATACGCGCCCTCTCCCCCTTAGGTTCCAAGGGGCATTTGGGTCCCTCGGGATTTACGATTAAGGACCCGAAAGGCCGGCCGGACGTCGTATCTAGGGGTCCCCGCTCGCAGGGCCGGGCACTCCAATGCCAGCCAGAGGGCCCTGCGCGCTAATGAGAGATCCCTGGGCCGATAATGTCGTATACGTTGGCCAGACATCACCAGTAACGCCGAGTCGGATCCGTGGCGACATGGTCTTGAGGGCCCATTTCTCAGTTAGGACCAATGCTGGCGCCAGTGTCTTTCACTCGTCGGGGCCCCACAGCCACTAACAGGGCCCTGTGTTGGCAAAAGGCCCCGAGTTGACCAGAAGCAGTGCTCGGGAAGGCTCGAAAAACTTGGAGGGCCCACCAGGTTCGACGATCAAGGGCTTGATTAAAGGGTCTAAGGGCACGAAGGGCTGGTCGGAGTCCTATGCAGGCGACCCCGCCTGCGTGGAGAAGCTCTCAAATGTCACAGAGCCTTTTGCACCGATCGCGGACCCCACGTGTCGATACGGACCTATATGGGTCAGGTACCACCTGTGCCGCGCAGTCGGCTCCGTGTCGGTATGGACCTGAGCGCCCATTTCCAAATCAGCTACAAAGCCGGGGCCAGTGATTTTCACTCGTCGGGGCCCCTATATTTGTCAGGGCCACATCACCTAACAAAGGGCCCCGTGCTAGCAGGGGGCACCGACCGACAGAGGGCGGTGTTCAATGAGGCCCGAAGGGGGGGCCCGGGCGGCCAAACAAAAACGTGCATCAAAGGCCCGGTTAGGGAGGCATACGGGCCCGAAAGACTGGCTGCGGACTGACCTTCACATATAGACTGGTTACGGGTCACATATAGAATGGCAGCCGTATGATTGTGACCTGACATATCAGAGGCTATGCTGCATCGTTCGAGGACACCCTGAGACTAAACTGTTATCGGGTTCTTTCTGATAACCAGCTCAAATACACTTGATCGGTCGGGGGAGGGGTGGGAGGGGGGGGGGGGGGGGCTCCACCTTACGTCTTGGGTACTTCCTATTTGAATGGAAGTCCCTATGCACTTGTCGAGGACCCCATCGGTTCACCTCCTTGAACAAACTAGATTGCTCGGGGGCCCTGCAAACTGAGTCTTGACATTTGAATGTAGGAATCTACACTCTTGTCGGGGTCATCTGATAACATGCTCGGGTACGCTCCATCTTTTTCGGGCCCCTCACACTGGACCCTAGCCACTTCTTATTTGAATGGAGGGCCCCACGCTCTTGTCGGGGCCCTTCCGGTAGCCTGTTCGGGCACCTTTGATCGTTCGGGGGCTATCTACACTGGGTCTTGGGTACTTCCTATTTGGGCGGAGGGCCCTACGCTCTTGTCAGGGGCCCTATCTGTTAGCCTGCTCGGATACGCTCGATCGTCCGGGGTCTTCCACATTGTGTCGGGGTGTTTCGCATTTGAATGAAGGCCCCCACGCTCTTGTCACTCCCTCCCCCTAATCTGTTCATCTGCTCGAGCGCATTCGATCATTCTGGGGTCTTCCATCTTGTGTCTTCTTTCTTGGTGATGGTGGTGATTTGTGTTTTAAGGGCGCGTCGGCATCGGGGCCATTTTGCGCCCACTCGATGACGGTTATCTACCTCTGCGACGACGCGATAAGTGTGTTGTCAGCTGATGACAGGTAGCATCACTGGCGCACTTACACTGAGGGCTGAGTGAAAATAACGTCAAAGTCAATGTGTGCTAAAAATGCGAGTATGTCTCCAAGTTCACCACATGGGTTTCGACCGAGTAACCGATGAAGGGGCGCTGGAGGAAAAAATCGTCGCCTCTCCGTCTCAAGGCGCCTACATGAGACGAGCACATGTTCAACAGACAACCGGTCCCCGCATCTATCACACCGTGGCACATCCCTACGCGTCAAGTAAAACGAGTGTGCGGCGTATGTATGACCCAACCGAAGCCTACAAAGGGCGACTTCCTGGAAGCGGCTTCGGCGATGGGAGGATTCCCAATCACCTAGTTGGGGCTTGATTTCCCTGAAAGCGTGGAGATGTTGGTCGAACATGTGCTGCCACGTATTGCGAACGTATTTGGAAATGACTGACTTCAGATCTCGAGCGGGTACATAAATTAGTATTGGGTTTCTCTCACATGCCGCAGCTTTCGCTGCGGCGTCGGCTTT